GATAACATTACATTTCTGTCATTTGTCATGAATTCTTATTGAAAGAAATTCTCTACTGACAACAACAATAACAACTACCACGCCATAAAGCCGGCAGTCACTTGATCGAGTGTGTAGATTGCAGATCTGGGTGAGGGACCTGAAATATCGATTCAGCTTTTAATTCGTTACGAAACACAAATATTGATTACTTAAAGACACTAAATTTAACATTGCCTCAACGCTAGATTACCGGTGTTATGTTAAGTAATCAATATATAAAGTCAGAAGAAAGAAATACACAGACTAATTGTAAAACTGCTGGTTCTTACTTTTAAATTCCATACAAAACATCTAAATACAAACACAAATAATGGTCAAGTCAAATCGTAGAAACAAGAAAGCGAAAATAAACGTTGTAATAAGACGAAACAACAAGTAAAAAAAGAAGGTAAACTACAAAAACAAAACAACACAAATGACAAAAGAAAACAAAAATAAAAACAAACACAAACACAAAATAACAAAAACGCATAAATAAACAACTAAAGGCTCCAACCAAGAAACACCGACCGACCAACAGCAACCAGAACCAGAACATCACACCCTCAACCTTAAAGTATGAAAACAAATTAAAATAAGAAGAAAACGAAAAGACGTTAAAAGGAGAGAAAATAAAAAATAAGAATAAATGAATAAATTGAAAACGTCAGCATTTTAGAATTAAAATAAAAGTATTAACAAATAACAACTCTCATACAAATACCCCCAACAAAACACACCAACTCATTTATTTACATTTTTTAATATAAAAGTCTCAATAGAAATACCCAGTTGACCACAGTTTAGGAAAATAGTAATGCAACATTTTCGCGAGTAATACTAGATGAGACAAGCAAGAAATTGTCGCGAATGTCGAAAGTAAATCATTAGGAATTAAATTGACATATTCCCGAAGGAGTTGTTTGGGTTATATCAAGAAACATCGAATTCTAATATAAAATCGCTAACGATTTTGATCGCGAATTTGGTCTGTAACTGGCCCTAAAGATTCTCAATTTAATCGAGAATAAAGTATTTCTCTTTCTCTAGTATAATTTTTGTCCTTTACATACACAGTTTTCCAATAAAGATGGGTCCATGTTAATATTGAATAAAGGTAGATCTTAACCGAAATACGGATCCGCTTAGTATAATAATCTTCTGCTTATTTACATCCAACTGAACATTACTCGATATTGAGAATATGGATCATTTGGTTGGACTTCAGGGTATCACCTCTTATAGTGTTTTTTCAGTCGGAGATCTTACCGATCGGGAAAGACTTCGATATTATAGTGTTAGTTGGTTTACGTTGGGTACTAGAACACTCTCATATACTGTGTAATGTGATCGCAGATAAATTGGCCAGAAAGAGCCAGAATCTGGACTGTAATAGTAAAGATAAGTCGGTAAAACTTCCTATCTGTCACTACTATAAACTAATATCCGAATAGTTTAAAGCCTCTACCAACCGATCCTGACTGATCATAGGGATTTCACTTCTATGACCACTCCTCTTTCATCTATAAGCATGAAAAACTCTTAACACCTTTGCTCTTAGTTTTCTGCATTTTTTCTATATTTATTGATCCATATTTTCGAAAAAATACATAATAATAAAGCCTCCAGATGAGAATTATCTCTATTTTGGAGACTTGAAATTCCATTCTTTCCAGGCGACTATAAATGTTTCTTTATTTATTTCTTAAATTGATCACTTTATCTAAAAACTAACGTTTTATTCGAAAATGTTGGTCAATTTGGTGGCAAGCAGATTGTAACAACAACATTTCTAAAACGACAACATTTAATAATCGCAAGAGAGCAAATAACTTGAGTGGATAGAGGAGATCTTCGAACTAATTGAAAGAGTAGATAGAAGTGTCTTGATGATGATGATGGTGGTGGAGAATGAATGACTCCACTACTAATAATAAAAAATAACTAAATTTGCTGTGGTTGTTGTCATTGTTGCTATTTTTGCTATTAAATATTTCTGTTTATTTTACTGTGTATTTGTTGTTATTGTTGTTACAAGAGAGCACGCATATTAACTTGTTATAGAGGTTATGAGCACCGCTATTACCAATATGAATAACACAAAACAAACAACAACAACATACACACTCATTCACTCACTCACTTACATTTAAGCCAGCTCACACTTGGCTTGAAAATAGTCTTGTCTAACATTTGACAGTGGGCTACGAGAGTGAAATATAACAAATTGTAAAAATGTTATCGAAAAGAGAACGTTATATCAAAGATTTCCTATAAAGATACAAATTTTATCGAGAATATATGCGGCAGATTTTGCTTTTCATCTTTAATTTGAAACAATTGACGCTCATCGATTGCTCACGAAGCTCATGGTGAATGTGTTTCATCGGTATCAACGTTTGACACGGAAAACAATGATCGGCCAGGCAACGAAAAAAGTTTGAAAACCAAGTTGTTGTTGTTCAGCCAATCAATCAATAGGTTATGCATGGATGCATCTATAAATCCATTGAACAAAATGATTGGCTGATTATTTGAATTGTATTTGGTATCATGAGGAGCACAGACTAGACATTCCTTAGTGATGGCACGGTCTATGCGGGTTAAGAGACATTAGGACTGTTGCTCCATTCCCATCTCAGTTATGCCAATACTTAGGTTATCCGAGACAGAGTTTCTACGATGTCTGCCAATCAACCTTCAAGTACGACATTCATGCGGTATCCAGCAACCCCGGTATTTATGGCGTTCAAAGCTGCTGTTTTCCTCGTGTATATAGAAAGGTTCTTCCTGACATGTCTCGGGCACCATACAACTATGTATGTAATTTTGACATCAAAGGAGAAACTGTTCGTTCTATATGTCGTTCTGTTCCTTACTGTGACAACCTTTATTTCCTCGTGTAGCTGATAAACCGTATTCTCTAGGGCAGCTTTGAATGTTTCTCCAACGAGTAGCTATCACTAGGAAAATATGACCATCATTTAAGTCCATCATAATAAACCACTGAACTGACATTCGTTTTATATATAGCCCAAGTGCTTTAGGACCTTGCTTCTACATCAAAATTTCTACGCAATTGCAGTTGCATGATCTGTGGATGTAAAGAGGCCGTCAAAGGTTTGTGTGTGCGTCCAGCAACAAACAACAACTGGCGCTAATGTAATGTCCTTTGGTGGGACCAAATGGGTCCTATTTATGCTGAAATCTTTGCAGATCACCACAAATAATCTGTACCGATTTCAACTTATTGAAGCTTGAAGTGACCATTAACCGAAAAACTTCCAGAATATGCGAAACGACATGAAACGCTCAGTCGTATGTTGCAATACTTTTTAAAATCTATAGAAGTGTTTGGGTTTTGCCTTATAGTCCAGATTATGTCCCGTCCGAATACAATTTGTTTCGGTCGATGCTAAATGCTTTCTCTGAGATACTCTTCACTTGAGAACAGGGTATGAGAAATTGGCTTGATTCGCTCTTCGCTCAGAAGGGAAAAGATGAGCAGCACTTTAGGTCGCAATACATAAGTTGCCAGAAAGGTAGGAAAAGACTATCACTAGTTACTACTATGAATACAAATAAAAGCTACATATTTAGAAATCCCAATTTTTAATTCATAAAGTTAAAGAAATCGTGGCTAGGAATTTGCTAAGACTCTGTCATCATTAGTCAATCCTTGACGCGACAACTATACAAATATACATACTTTATCAGGATAATTGCCCTCGCGGAATTACGGATTATGATACATAGACTTCGAGGAAGCAGCTCTGATAGAATTTCCAACTAGCGATGATTGGCTTTATCCGCTGGCCTGTTTGGTTGGTGTGCAGTTTTCACTGACGGGTCCATATCAACATAATCGGTCCTTCAGACTCCCTAGGAATCTGCAAAGACTCTACGAGTCTTCGTTAGTCAAACCTTCGCGCGACAACCATACAAACATTCTGTACGAATCCGGGTAATTCCCAGATTATTATATAACGAATATAAACTTCGCGGAAGCATCTCTGATTGGATTTCCAACCAGGGATGATTGGCCTGTATCCGATGGACTGTTTGGCAGTTTTCACTGACCGGTTCAAGATGGATAGAGGCACGGGTTCCGGTGTGTATATCGCTGATATCAACAGAAAATGGTCCTTCAGACTTCGTGACGAATTTAGTGTCTTCCAAGCAGAGTCCTGGAATAGTAGATTGGATAGCAAAGTTTCAAAGGCCCTATGGCAAAAACTTTATATGGGGGCTACTAAGGATTCTAATAGGAATGCTAATGGGGCATTGCTCAGTTATTACCTTTGTCAGTAAGTGGGACAACAATATACCGGACTATTGCAGACTATGCGAAGATGACCAGGAAGTAGAGTCGATCGAGCGTATAATTTGATAATCTCAGGCTGATATGGCTAGGGAATATGTTCCACAACGAAATTGTTTTGTCAAGGGAATCAGTTACTTCTTCGACTGGGCTTTATAGGGGGACAAAGATTTTTTCTCTCATCTCTTTATTCCTTAGGGTACTGACTTGTGTATTCCCTTGGAATTGACCTGTTTCCATTTATCTATCCTTTTACCTGTCATCTTCTTTCTTTCTGGTTTTCTTGTAGTGGTTTTGTTTCTCTGTCTTTGAATCTTCACTCTTTGAAGGGAATCACAATGTAGCTTATGACCTCCGAGTAGATGCATCTTTTTATGGTACATAACCCTTCTAAAATTAAACCTAAAGAACATTTTTTGTGTAAAAAGAGAAAATATAATCAAAATTTTTCAATTTATTTAAAAATAAAGAATATTTTCAAATTTTTATTCATATTATCCCACTGTACTTCGATTAGTTGGTGGTTATTGTGTGTGGTGTTAGAGCATGATTTTGTTGGCTGCTTGGGATTTGTATTTTTTTTTTTTTTTTTTTTTTCTTTATAATTTTTATTTCTGATTTGTGTTTTTTTTTTGCTCCCCAGCTTAAGCATTTAACATATAGAGAATGTTAAGACAATCAGTTTGATTTGAGCCGTGTTAATAAACGTATCTTTAAGATGCGAGACAATAACAAAATAACAACAGCGACCAAGACGACGACAACTAAACAAGTGTAAATTACAAATAAATTCAGAAGAAAAAAAACAACTTGGTCACTTTTTTTATACAATACGGTTTCAGTTTTATTTTGGTTTTGTTTTTTTAAAAACAACGAGCGATTTTAACGAGTTATTTTTAATATATTGTAACTAAATAAAATCCTAATAAAAAAAATAAATAAATACGGATACAAAAAAAAGTATCTAACGAATACGTGTTTAAGAATATAATATAAAAAAAATCTATAGAATTAAATTAACGAATTTAAAAAAGCGGTAGTTAAGCAGCACAAACAAGTGTCAAAATTTTTATAATAAAAATAAATAAAATAGAGGAAGTTTGTTTAAGTTATAAATCAAAGAAAAAAGTGTATTTTAAAAATTAATAAAATTTAAAAAAAAGTATCTATAAGTTAAAGCTACACACTTACTCATTTAACAACGTATTTAACTTAAAGATTTTTTTATTACTAAAAACAACTTTGTGGTGGTGTTTAACAGCAACAACAACAACAATAACAACAGCAACAATTTGTAAACAACAAAATAAGTTTTAAGTAACAGCAGCAACAACAAGAAGAAGAAAAAAAATTGCTATAAATTATTTTCTGATCTTATGACCTTGACTCCAAAGTCTGTCAGAGAAACAGCACAACAAAAAAAAAACAGAAAATAACATAAAACTTTGTTATAAAAAAAATATACAAAATATATTTAAATATTTCTTATAAAAAATAAAAGAAAAAAACATCATTTATTTAAAAAAAAAACAAAACAAGTTAGTTGAAAAAAAAAATAACGAATGTTTGACTCAACAATTAAGGAAACCCAGTCCAGTCATCAAACTTCGTTTTAAAAGAAATAATAATTTTAAAATAAGAGAAAAAAAGTCAAGACAAGTGAGACTTAGTTTATGTCAAATGAAATCATTTTCAACTAAATTTTAAATTCTTTGAATAGAAGGCGTTTTTCTCCCCCTTCCCTTACTCTCTTAATCAAAACAATTCTTCTATAAAGTGCCATATAAATTTTTTTTTATTAAAAAAAAAAAAATTATCAAAATATTTAATTTTAATTAAAAAAAGTAAATAATTTTTTAATTACAAAAAGTCAAATAAATAAAACAAAACGCATTTGTTTACAATTTTGTGTTTGTCATGCAATTTGAGTGAATTTAAATTTTCTTTTTATTTTTGTTAATTTTATTAATTTTTTTGTTTTAATGAAAAAATCATTATAAATTTTTATAAATTTGAAAATGTTCGCTCCCCGTAATTCATCACCAGTTGCCATGTATGGCAAAGAGGAAGTAGCTGCTTATGAGGTAAAATAATGTCTTCTAATTTGTTCTTTACAAATATCTAAAGCATTTTATAATCAAAGATTTATAATAATATTTTTTGTAATAAACAAATATTTTCTGAAATCTGAGATTTTAATTACCAAACAAATATTGTTTCAAAATTATTACGGTCAGTTTTTTTTAAGAAATCTTACTGACTCATTTGATACCAAATTAGTCATTGTTCCCTAAATCTAAATGAAAATGATCTTAATTCCGATAAACAATAACAATTTTTGCGAAACTTTTAATCTTTTTCTTCAGTGATAATGACAATTTAGTACTTTTACGTTCATAAATAAGACTATAGTCTTGTCTATAGTCCAGACTATAGTGTTGTCTATAGTCCAGACTATAGTCTTTTATATAGTCAGATTATAGTATTGTCTATAGTTCAGATCATAGTCTTGTTTATATTCCAGGCTATTGTCTTGTCTATAGCTCAGAATATAGTCTTGTCTATAGTCCAGCCTAAAGTCTTGTCTATAGTTCAGACTATAGTCTTGTCTATAGTCCAGACTATAGTCTTGTCTATAGTCCAGACTATAGTCTTGTCTATAGTCTTGTCTATAGTCCAGACTATACTCTTGTCTATAGTCCAGACCTTAGTCTTGTCTATAGTCCAGACTATAGTCTTGTCTATAGTCCAGACTATAGTCTTGTCTATAGTCCAGACTATAGTCTTGTCTATAGTCCAGACTATAGTCTTGTCTATAGTCCAGACTATAGTCTTGTCTATAGTCCAGACTATAGTCTTGTCTATAGTCCAGGACTATAGTCTTGTCTATAGTCCAGACTATAGTCTTGTCTATAGTCCAGACTATAGTCTTGTCTATAGTCCAGACTATAGTCTTGTCTATAGTCCAGACTATAGTCTTGTCCCTATAGTCCAGACTATAGTCTTGTCTATAGTCCAGACTATAGTCTTGTCTATAGTCCAGACTATAGTCTTGTCTATAGTCCAGACTATAGTCTTGTCTATAGTCCAGACTATAGTCTTGTCTATAGTCCAGACTATAGTCTTGTCTATAGTCCAGACTATAGTCTTGTCTATAGTCCAGACTATAGTGTTGTCTATAGTCCAGGCTATAGTATTGTCTATAGTCCAGACTATAGTCTTGTCTATAGTCCAGACTATAGTCTTGTCTATAGTCCAGACTATAGTCTTGTCTATAGTCCAGACTATAGTCTTGTCTATAGTCCAGGACTATAGTCTTGTCTATAGTCCAGACTATAGTTTGTCTATAGTCCAGACTATAGTCTTGTCTATAGTCCAGACTATAGTCTTGTCTATAGTCCAGACTATAGTCTTGTCTATAGTCCAGACTATAGTCTTGTCTATAGTCCAGACTATAGTCTTGTCTATAGTCCAGACTATAGTCTTGTCTATAGTCCAGACTATAGTCTTGGTCTATAGTCCAGACTATAGTCTTGTCTATAGTCCAGACTATAGTCTTGTCTATAGTCCAGACTATAGTTCTTGTCTATAGTCCAGCTATAGTCTTGTCTATAGTCCAGACTATAGTCTTGTCTATAGTCCAGACTATAGTCTTGTCTATAGTCCAGACTATAGTCTTTGTCTATAGGTCCAGACTATAGTCTGTCTATAGTCCATACTATAGTCTTGTCTATAGTCCATACTATAGTCTTATCTATAGTCTTATCTATAGTCTTATTTATAGTCCAGACTATAGTCTTGTCTATAGTCCAGAGTATAGTCTTATGCCAGACATATTTATGTCTATATTATGTCTAAAGCCCAGATTATAGTCTTGTCTATAGTCCAAACTATAGTCTTGTCTATAGTACAGACTATAGTCTTGTCTATAGTCCAGACTATAGTGTTGGCAATAGTCCAGACTATAGTCTTGTCTATAGTCCAGACTATGTAATGTTCTCTTTAGTCCAGCCTATAGTCAAGACTATATTTAGTCCAGCGTATAGTCAAGACTATAGTCTTGTCTTTAGTTCACACTGTAGTCTTGTCTATAGCACAGACAGTAGTCTTGTCCCTAGCCCAGATAATAGTTTTGTCTATAGTGCAGACAATAGTCCTGTCTAAAGTCCAGACATTAGTCTTGTATTCATTGTCTATTATCTGGTCTATAAAACTAAAGTGTGGGAGGGATGATATGGTCAATTCAGGCAGATTATTATAGTATTGATAATTAGATTTTTATTCTTGTAAAACTTTTTATATTGATTCGAATCACCCGTTATAAACGTCATTTTCTGAAGGGGACCTGAATCCTGGCTCGATGTTTAACTATTTGTACAACTAATTTTTACAGAAATTCACCACAATTGCTACCTTTATAACGTGTTTATGATTATTTAAATTGTATTCCGGATGACAATAGGGGCTAGGAGAAATCATGGACCGATTTTTTGGAGATTTTCAATGTCAAACATTTCTGATCAATAACAATAATTATGGGAAATTTGATCTCCTTTAGCTCTTCTCCAATCACAGGCGGCAGTCCGTCATACATAGTTAGATTTTACATACCTGTGACAATAAGGAACGGCTACAAAAAGTTCTGACCCGATTTCTGTAAAAAATGGACGTAATATGGGGTTGAGTATAAAGATTAAAGAAAAGGGTCTAATAACAATTTTTTAAACTGTTATGGCCTTATTCATAATGAAAAACGAGCTGCTAATTATCTTCCTGCTAACTTTTTTGTGTGTAAATTCCCATTAGGGTTAGATAGCAGATCGTTAGTTAGTAGTTTGTTTTTTTGTTATTATGAATAAGACCATTAATGATTAATGCGTTTAGTCTAATATTTCATGACACACATTTAATCACAATTTAAGACAAATGTTTAACTAATGTTCAAAAACTTATGTGATAGTAAGAAATGTCAAATACTAATTATATTCAACTTTAGACTTTGCTAAATAAACGTTTTTCTTTAATAAATAAAGTTTTGTTTGAATAAAGTTAAATATATAAAATGTATATTTTTGTGAACATACTTTAACAAAAATTTGGAATTAATTAAAATCATAGAATAGTTTAGAGATCTTCAACTTAACATTAATTTTAATATTACATTTCTCATTACAAAATATTCCATGTTACGACAAACTTTTGGGAAAAACTTTATTTTTTATATTTAAATTACTTATAACATATATTTCAGCAATTAATGTAATTTTTCCTCTCCATTTTACGTTTTATCTTTATATGTTAAGTTATATGCAGAAACTTTTAACACATTTTTTTATATAATAGATTTTCATTGAAAATGTTGTTGACTTCCTAATTTGTAATCTTTAAATCTTAATTATATGTTAAAGTGAAATTTCTTTAGTTTTTACCATAAAATCCAGCCGTTTTTAGTTTATTACATTTCCCAGATACTTTTTTATATATTTAAGCTAAATGTATATGATGTACTCATGTATGTATGTTTTAACTAGTTTAAATCTTTAAATCTAAATTGTGTTAAATCTTTAAGCTTAATCTCGTACTTATTACTTTTTTATGCTACAAATACGAGTATGAGTTTAAAGAGTGTGAAAAAAGTCATGATAAATGAAATGTTTAAAAATGTTAAATATGTTTTCCTATGAATTTTGGTATGAATTACAAATGAAATTTATTCAGACATATTAAATTTAAATTAAATATGATTTTCATAATGTATATGAAAATGAGAGATATGAATTTAATACATACATTTATGAGTTTTTTTTTTTTTTTAAATATAAGTTTGGATATTTTGCTACCCAGCGAACATGGAGAACTAAATTACTTTTAAGAATTAAATATCATTTAAGAATTTCGACTTTCTTCACAATAAGGGAAGTTATTATATACTTAATACACTTGGCAGATTAATAAATTTAAAATTGAATAAGATTGATATATGAGAATTGTTTGCTGGGCAAAAGAACAAACATGTATTATAGTTTTATGTTAAAAGCTCGGCAGACATACTGTGAGATGGACATTTTAAGCGTTTGTAGTATGTGTTAATGTAAATTGTTAGACATGTTAATTTTTCCCACTCTTTTCCCTTTTACACGGCCATAAACCATTTTATATGGTTTTCGTTTTAAAAAATAAATCCAACGAAATGTATATTTGTTTGACTAGAGTTTTTATTTCGAGACTATTTTCATTGCCTGGATTCAAGTATTTTTTATAGTATATAGTATATAGAACTGAACTAGAACTGAACTATAACTAGAACTGAACTAGAACTGAACTAGAACTGAACTAGAACTGAACTAGAACTGAACTAGAACTGAACTAGAACTGAACTAGAACTGAACTAGAACTGAACTAGAACTGAACTAGAACTGAACTAGAACTGAACTAGAACTGAACTAGAACTGAACTAGAACTGAACTAGAACTGAACTAGAACTGAACTAGAACTGAACTAGAACTGAACTAGAACTGAACTAGAACTGAACTAGAACTGAACTAGAACTGAACTAGAACTGAACTAGAACTGAACTAGAACTGAACTAGAACTGAACTAGAACTGAACTAGAACTGAACTAGAACTGAACTAGAACTGAACTAGAACTGAAGTAGAACTCAACTAGAACTGAACTAGAACTGATCTAGAACTGAACTAGAACTGAACTAGAACTGAACTAGAACTGAACTAGAACTGAACTAGAACTGAACTAGAACTGAACTAGAACTGAACTGGAACTGAACTGGAACTGAACTGGAACTGAACTAGAACTGAACTGGAACTGAACTAGAACTGAACTAGAACTGAACTAGAACTGAACTAGAACTGAACTAGAACTGAACTAGAACTGAACTAGAACTGAACTAGAACTGAACTAGAACTGAACTAGAACTGAACTAGAACTGAACTAGAACTGAACTAGAACTGAACTAGAACTGAACTAGAACTGAACTAGAACTGAAACTAGAACTGAACTAGAACTGAACTAGAACTGAACTAGAACTGAACTAGAACTGAACTAGAAATGAACTAGAACTGAACT